ATGATTGTCCCTCTGTTCTTGACATTGGTGCGGCCACACCTTGAGTCCTGTGTCCAGTTTTGGACCCCTCACTACAAGAAAGACATTGAGGTGCTCTAGCACGTCCAGAGAAGGGTAACAGAGCTGTTGAAGGGTCTAGAGAGGAAGTCATATGAGGAGTGTCTGAGAGCTGGAGTTGTTTAGCCTGGAGACAAAGAGGCTTAGAGGAGACCTAATCACTCTCTACAAACATCTGAAAGGTCAGTCTCTTCCCCCAAATAACAAGCAACAGGACAAGAGTAAGTGGTCACAAGTTGCACCAGAGGAGGTTTAGATCGGGTATTAGAAAAAATTTCTTCAGGGAAAGGGTTGTCAAGCATTGGAAGAGGCTGTCCAGGGGAGTGGTGGAATCACCATCCCTGGAAGTATTTAACAGCTGTGTAGATGTGGACTTAGGGACGTGTTGGTGATGAACTTGACAGTGTTAGGTTAATTGTTCAACTCGATGGTCTTAAAGGTCTTTTCCAACATAAACACTTCTGTGATTCTATTCAAGTGTAAATAAACACTAGATACAAATCTTGAAAGCACTGGGATTGAGACTAAGTGATATCTCCTAATAATTACTATTTCTTTTGTGACAGTTCTGGAGCTTGGAGAAACAAACCTGCCCCTAGGAATCATAGTACATGATCCTTAAGTGAGAAAACATAATTAGGTAAATGAATAGCAAATAAACACAACAGCTAATTGAGGTATTGCTCCTGTCATTTTCTGCTGGGAATTAGCTTATGTCAGTTCTATATCAGGGGAAAAGATATATAAAGACAAAGAAAGAATGTTTGCACTCTTTGTAGCATAGACATGCACCATATCACCATATTTGTTTAACTGCACAAAGCAATAGAGTGTTTCTTTTCAAGTCAGTAATAATTACAGTTTGAATCAAGCTCCCTGTCTTTGCTAGCAGTGAACTTTAAAATATGTTTGCTCATTTGACTTGACAGCAGTGAATGAATAGGTTTCTCAGGCTTTTTTTTTCATTCCTGTTATACTGAAAAGTTTATACATATATAATTTTTTTAAAAAACCTTACTGGCATTCATTACTAATCTTGTTATGGAAATTGTAAGAAAATATCTAGTAGCTAAAAAGAAATCCCTCTATCTTTATGCAGACAGCTTCTGTGTATTATACCGTGACACTGGAACGAGGGTATATAGTGCTTTCGAAAACTAGTGCAATGAAAACTTCCTTCCACCAAAATAATTACATTGATAAAAACACATTAAGTGTAAGCACTGAATCTTAGTGTCACAAGAAATAAAAGTGTCTATAAGACTCAACAGGAGTGGTAACGTTATCCTCAGTTTCTGCACCAAACAGGGTGCCCATTTCTGAATATATCAGTTCAATTATTGAATAGGATAGAAGAGATGTATTGGATATATTATCATTTCAATCAGTTGTGATTCTGTGTTTCATTTGAAGCTTTTTTTATATACAAATAAAACATTGAATAAACAATAGAAGTATTAAACTGAGAAAATTTCAGATTATTTTTAATATTGGGAACGTCTATTGAAGGAACAGATGCTTTTCTTCTTATTTAGTTTTTTAATAGCTGCATTGCCATAGTTCTTACTACGCTACTATTCAGAAGGTTTATTAGTAGCATAGCACCTCTAATTAACAAACCTTCTCTACTCCTAGACTTCTAGGAACAAGAAATAAATCACCAAATTGTCTGAGTCTTGTCTATATTCCAGAAAGCATATTTGTAAACTTCAGGAGATGTTCCTTTATAATGGCAAATTAAGAAAACCATTTAAAGAATTAGAAAGAGATTATTGTTTCTGTCTATCTTCATTTGCTGAGAATCTGGTGCGAACATATTGCTAAAGCTGTGGCAGAAAATAGAACACTCAACTTTTATCCTTTATGTTAAAAATTACATGCATACAGACTGGATTGAAAAAAAAAAGAACTTTGGGGAACACTGTAGAGGCCTCTTGACGCTTTGAATTTTTTTTGATTTAGCAATTTTTTGGGGTTTTTTTATATAAAAAACCCAAACCTCCCCAAAATGGATAATAGTTTCCATTTAGCCATTCTAGGGTTGTCTGCATTCAGAACTGCTGGAAGGACTTTATGGATTCAGGCCAAGGTGTATGCTCTAGTTAGTACTTGAGTATCTGCCTGAACCGACTTACAAAATGAATTGTTTCATAATAATAATGTTTATTTAAAGTGAAGGAATCTGATCTTTGGAGATACCATTTATCATGTTACATGATGTTGATATTACTATAACTCTGTGCTAAATTATGACTTTTCAATGGCATATAAAAGTGAGAGAGTGACTGTTTCTTCAGCATAGGAAAAGCAAGAGTATTTAGCATTTTTTGCACAGACTGCACCTTTAAATTGAGTGACCCTACTTACTGAAATTGTTTGCATCACAGACAAGACTTGGAGTGTGCAAGCTGGTTCCTTTCAGATGAAACCAAATCAGCAGATAAGGTTGGGAAAAGCACTTGATGTTCTCCAACCAGTACTTGTGAGCTCTGTTTGGTTGGTTGGTTGCTTTGGTTCTTTTTGTTTTGATTTTATTTGTTTGTTTGTTTGTTTTGTGCCATCACAGAACAAGACCAGGGATAATTTGAAATAAAAAATTGAAAGAAAACAAACAGTGGGGATTAAATGTCCTCCATACAAACTGTTTCCCTGTGCATATTCACTCACTGTGCTATGCATTTATACAGCTGTAGGCAATGGCATTTATAAGTCAGTCATCCCCCCTGTTCCTAAGTATTAGAAATGATCTAAGTGTACAACCTTGTTAATATGGTTGTCCATCACATTTCATACCCCTCAGGTATGATGCAATGGTTGATTACCTTTTGCCTTATGAAGTATGTTTGGAATTCTGTTTCTTAAGATCAGTGTGCTTAATGGAATTATCATGGTTTGATTCTTCTTCATGGTTTCTCTTACATTCCCCCATGCTTCTGTGCCACAAAGGAATAAAAGTATTCAACAGCACACAACCAGCATCAGTGTGTGCCATTTGTGTAACTGCCATGGCTTGAGGAGAGGGATGTCATATCCTTAAATTTTCATTTTCTAACCATCTCTCCTTTCCTTTATTTCCAGAGCACCATATATATTTTCAAATTTAAAAAAATATCTAATGTAAACATAATCTGATATCCTATTTTATTGAATGCAATGCAAAATAATGAGTGGTGTCTTGCTGTGCAGACACCATGAGATGAATTAAAACCTAACTGCAAATAGTGTGTGTGTGCATGCATGCATGTGTATATATTTAAGTAATGAATTAGATCAAGGGTAAAAACAAAGCTCTCAGATTATTTGCTCTTTTTTTAATGCTGAATATCTTATTTAATAAATAATGCAGTTGATTTCTTCAACTTGGTTCAAAAAAAAAAAGGGAAAACAACTTCAGAGTTTATCAGAAAGCCATAGGTAAACCCTAAGTTTGATATTTTACAATAAGTACTGGTTTTATTGAAGTCAGTGGAAGAACTACATTTTTGATTTCAGAATTGCTTATAAGAATAAATATACTTAATTACAGGATACAAAATCCCATTTTAAAAATACCTAGGGTTAAAATTAATTCTTGTCCATGCTTGGTGTAATAAGTTTCCACCCATATGTTTATCTTTTGCTTATCCTTCACTTAATATAAGAACATGAAGCACAAAGCTCTGTTGTGAAAAACACACCAATCTGTAAATGAACTTGAACCAATCCATCTCCTTATTATCAGCCTTTATATTATTGTTAAACCACTGTCAAATACTACACTACATTATCATTTATCATTTTTTCCTGAAGACAAAGCTTTATTTAAGAAATCTACTGGATGGTGTTAGTTATAAACATAAGCTTGCTAAAGAAGTTTCAGATGTGTAAGCATCCACTACTGTCATAAAAGGCCAGATGCTGCTTGCTCTCAGATAGCTGCCAAATTTTTTTAATATTCTTTAGCTTTGGCTTTACCATCCATTCAGCAACTTTCCTTTATTCCTGTTTTTGGAGTGACATCAGTGTCTTATTTTCCTGTACGTTCAAAATAATTATGGAGTCTAGATATTTTTTCATGCTCATTTAAACATTCATTTAATATTTTGTAAAGAAACAAATTTTAGGCCCCTTTTTAGTGTCTGAAAATGGAATTATAGATCTCTACATAACTGTGATACATTTGAAAATAGTAATTAGTATCTGTCCTTTTGTAGATCTACTGTGAAGGTAAGAACAGCAATAGGAGATCTGTCTAGGGAGCATTATAATTATTAAATCTTCTTAGTGTAATAGCGTGATAGATGGAAAAGTATCATACACAGAAAAAACTCCTTCCCTAGATATTTAAAAAAATTGATACAAAGCTTGAGGGAACAGAAATGCCATCTTGTCCAAGAATGGAGCGTTATGAGAAGGATTAAGAAATTAACCCATTTTCTCTAAAATATAATCAGAATTTAAAAGAACTATCTCATTGAAATGCATCATTGAAACCTGATACACTGACAAGTATTCAATTGAAAGCTATTTAAATTTACTTTTCTTGTTTTCTTAGCAAAAAACAAAAAAGGCAAAAAGTAAAAGTTTTTTCACACCAAATTGTGTACATGGAAACACAGATAGATGTATGTCAGAATCTGGAGAATATAAAATAACAAAAAAATAAATTCCAATTCTTCTTTGCCATGTTTATTCATAAAAGTCTGCAGTTCTTGAAGAACTGGGCAAGAAGAGCAATGACTATAAAGGAATGTGGGCAGCATAGCAATGGCTGTCCTACTTTGTACTGCTTTGTTAAGAATTGGAATCTGTTACAGGCTTGTATATTCTGGGTGCCTTTTCTCCAGAAGTTCCAAATAGACAGACAAAAAGAGCTACTTCATTTTTAGAGCCAAAAAAGAAAAAAAGGTTTGTTTTCTTTTTTTTTTTTTTAAGGGAATGAAGTGGTACTGCAGGGTATTGCAAGGATAAAGGAATTTTCTGGCATTTGTCACAAAAGCTTGGGTGATAAACTTATCTGTTAGATAAAACTTTCTCCTAGTGTGTCAAAATTAAGGAAATGCTCAGGCTGCGTTGAATCTGGGAGTCAGCAACTGGTGCATGAGGTAAGGTACTACACTATATTTTTTGCCTGCTATCTGCAGCTGCTGTATCAGTGCTAGTCAATAGCACAACCAGTTCACCTGCATCCTGTAAAGGACAGAGAACCATTAAAGGTCTCAGACGTGAGTCTTGCTCAGGAATCAGTGTTAGAAAGTCTACTCTTCCTAGCTGATATAGTACTTTGGTGGTTGGGATTCTCCTCTTGGTATACATTGAAGTTTCACCATAGGTGCCTAAGCAATGGATCAACTGCATTGGAATGAAGAAAACACAATGCTTTCCTGGTCAAGCACTGCTTAAAGATATTATAACATCTCTCTCTTAAATCTTCTCTTCTGTTCATTTCCTTCTGTTACAGTCAGTTTCCAGCTGTCTTCCCATTCATTATATCATAAACACTGAGTACACAGGAGAGATTTAACTTGCCTGGGATGGATGACTTTTCTCTTACTTTAGGCTCATCCAAGACCTAAATCTTTTAGCAGCTATCTGTTTGGCATCTCTGTATGTGCATAGCAGCCAGCTGATGGTGTTTTAACTTGTGCGCAAACATATCCACTTCTGGTGAAAAAAAAAAAAAACAAAAACAAACAAGGAAAAAACACAAAGCAACAAACCAAAAACCTAAACCCAAACCTTTGAGAAACTTTGTCAGAAATTATTATATTAAATTTAAGGAACTAATTTTTTTCCCATATAGTAATAGTTTGTCTCTCTTCACCTGTTCCATCCATGAAATGAAGCTTGAATATTTGTGAGGGTTTTGCTATCCATTGCTTTTTGCAACTGAAATGTAAACCAGTTTATTCTGTCTGAAAACAAGTTTATTCTGTCTGTCAAAGTAAAGACTTCGACACCAATTTTTGATCTCTGGCTTTACTAACATTTTTCAGCGAAAGCAGGTTTAAGAAAAAAAAAGCGTCTACTTCTATTGAATTTTATGCAATATCCTTCTATATAATTTTTTTCTCGGTTCTGCTACGCCTCTACAAAGCAGTCTTTACTAAAATTTTTACACTATTCCCAAATTTCATAATTGTATTTTTTTTCTTGGCGCAATTAAATTCCTTCCACAAGTAGTGACTCTTCTCAGATTTCAAACCCTAAAACCCTGAAACTGTGTGAGGACATTTTACGTGATCTTAGATTTAAACAGCTCTGGTGGCAGCATGATCAAATAATAAATTAGGTACATTGAAGACTCAAAATCAAAGCTCACTTAAACTAATTGACATAATTTTTTAAAAAGGAAATGAACTAGAAAAAAGTTTGGTTAATACCAGAATGACTAAAAATGCACCCTTAGATCACTCTTGACAAAAAAAGCCAAAGTATCATAACAAAGCAAATCTTCAATGAAAACTGCTAAAATACATAATGCCATCAGTTATTGGGTAACGTGTTCTTCCATTTAGTTTAATTTAATATACTTTTTCATTATTTTCTAGTTTTATGTATTACAAATCCTCCATTCTTTAGGTAAGTTATTCATTGACTTTTTCGTAGAACTTGTAATGATAACAGGCTTCCTAATTACTATGTTTTTAATATTTTTAATATTTTTTCAGACCACTGAAATTTAAGAAGTTGGTAAGTTTTTGCAATGAGCTATGATTATACTACCAATCCTTCCTGAAACCTCACTCACTTTGCAAGTTATGTAATTATGTAAGACATAGACAGTTCCTTTCATTTTAAGGGAATGTGAACATTGCCTTCTCTGTCCATCAATATCCAGCTTCTACTCTCCACAGTCTGACTGCCACCATCCCCTTATCAGACATCTTGACAGTATAATTGGAAATGGGTATCAGTAAGCACAGTAATGTGTCAGGGAAAGCAGCATTTCACCTGAGTCTTTCTTCACAACCTTTCCATTAAAAGGTCATACTTCTACAATCAGATGGAACAAGCATGTTCATTTGTTTCAACAACCCTGACAGCTGTTTCTAAGTTTCTTTTCATGAAAGCTGAAATTATTCCCTAGCCTAATATAACCTTCAGTGATTTGTTTCCTTTTTAGATCAGTAGTAACATCATATTTTGAATTTAAACTTGTCTTCTCATGACCAAATGTGATGCAAGGATTAATACCAGTTATCAGGTTTTGATCAACAAAAATGCATGTAGAAAACTATTGTGAATGTCTGGGTTCCATAGATCATACAATGTGTGATTTATTTGTCTATGTCCAAGTTTGAAGTAAATAAATTTTCTTATCTTGCATAAACAAAGGTTCTAAGTCCAGGAAACTTTTGTCACTATTTCCTTTGTTTTTATTTATAATTTCAGCAATAAAAATAGTCACTGATCAAAACAAACTTCCTGCATGATTTTTTTTTTTTTAAATTTCAGAATTAATGCAAAACCTGGATATTCTTTTACCTTTTTTTCTAGAATGTTTTCTTTTTTTGAGATGAACTATTTTTTTTTAGTGAATTATTATATAAATAGTCACTACTGTAGAAATTTTATTTGCTTTTGCTGCATCTCTCTTCTGTTTAAATTTCTTTTCTGATGTTAGATATTCATATACATTGAAATTCAGAATAACATGATTGGTTTTGTTTGTCATGCCAAGAAATGGTCACTTAACGCTATTTGGATATAAACTAACTTGGATAGTATGCCATCTACTTTCACAGTAATCACTAAAGAAAAATTGTTAAAAGAAACCGAAATATCAGCAAGTCAGCAGTAAGCTAACAGTTTTCACCAAATCCAGTGAAAGATGTTGGAATAATTATTTACTCCATGTAGCAAGAACAAAGAAAGAAAATATTTATTCTGGACATCCAGTTTATATCTGTATTTCCCTTTGATATCGAAAATCTCTTCAGACCTTTCTGGTGTGGGTGATATCTGTGATACAAACTTCTGCAAAAACTCAATGTTGCATGCCTCACTTTTCTAGTTCATTTATAATTAAAATGTTATTGAAGAAAATCCACAGAAAATTATCACAATTCACAATATTTTTAAAGTTTCCACTTAAATTTAAATGTCAAAAATTTACTATTCTATAAGAATGGTTGAGATGGAAAGTGAAAACTAATAATGCATTCAAAAGTAGTATTAAAATTTGGATGAAGAAAATCTAAGCACAGATTCGCTTTTCTTTAGACAGCTTGCTTTTGAGAGGAGGCAAAAACATCAGCCTAGGGATCCACCTGTCTGCTCCTATTTTGTCCCTTTCCCCTTCTCTTCCCTTTCCGTTTTTACTGTGTCTTTTAATGACACAGATTCTCAACGAAACTAAACTTTGCTTGACTACTACAGAAAATCCTATCTGGATTTCATTGGATTCTTTATTAGTTACCTAACCAGGCATTATTAATATAGGTATTTTGTCATCTTTTTCTCTCCTACTCTCTTATGTATTTTATGCTATTGTTGTGGCTTAACCCCAGCCAGCAACCAAGCCCCACACAACCACTCTCTCTCTCCCCTACCAGTGGGACTGGGGAGAGAATCAGAAGGGTAAAAGCTGGAAAACTCATGGGTTGAGACAAAGACAGTTTAATAGGGAAGGGAAAAGCCATGAACTCAAGCAAAGCAACATAAGGAATTCATTCACTGCTTCCCATAGGCAGGCAGATGTTCAGACATCACCATGAGAGCAGGGTCCTATCGTGTGTAACACGATGGAAGGCAAACATCATCTCTCAGAGCGTTTCGCCCTTTTCTCCTTCTTCCCCCAGCTTTATATACTGATCATGATCCCATATGGTGTGGAATATCCCTTGGGTCAGTTTGGGTCATCTGTCCTGGCTGTGCCTCCTCACAACCTCCCATGCACCTCCAACTTCCTTGCCAGTGTGGCAGTATGAAAGGCAGAAAAGGCCTTGGCCCTGTGTAAGCACTGCTCAGCAATAACAAAAACATCTCTATATTATTAAATCGGTGTTCAGCACAAATTTAAAACACAGCCCCGTACTAGCCACTGTGAATAAAATTAACTCTACCCCAGCCAAAACCAGAACACCTGTCTACTAGTTTTCTTCTGGATATTATTCAGCCAGGAAAAAAAATCCCAAATTCTATCAGTGTTTTATTTTTCTCCCAAATAATCCAGCAATTTTCTCTTTGCAATATTTTTCATTATGACTCTTCACTACCATAAGAGAACTATATTTTATTGATACTGTTGCTTTGCAAGGAAAGGCACGCTCTATACTTCACCAAATCTGTATACTGCACATTTAACTTTTTTGCCAAACACAGAATTGAAGCATTGCCAGCTTTGGGAAAAAAATTCACAAAGGCAGCAGCAGCAGCAAATATATGAGATGGATACATGAGATATAAGAAGAAGGTGGATATTATTTTCTTTTCAATGCTTCCTACAACATTTAAAAAACAGAGAATTGAAAGACAGTCATCCATCACATTGCATGAAAGAGCTATCAGAGGGTATATGGAGAAAGAAGGATCATGCTGATAATGGGAAAACAGCAGCCAACAGTTGAGATTTATAACCATGACCTACAATGAGCTGTATAGATGCTGGCTTTTCTGCCTCTCTGAAAACTCATATATCTGTAATGTGGTTTCCATCTAATTTTAGAGATACAGCTGCTCATGGTTTGTTGCAGAATTAACCCTTGTATTTGGAGTGGAAAGAGCTTAGCAGTAGAGAAGAGAAAGAAAAGTGAGACAAGGGTCTAATTTGGCACCAGTGAGCAATTTTTACAGTCATTGGGAATAAGACACATTAGCAAATTTCAAGACAGAAAACATATAGAAAGGTATAAAAAATAAACCCTTATGGAATTACTGAATTGCTATCTAGTTACAGAATGAGGCAATAAATCTTCTACATATTGTCTCTTTTAAGAGACAACAATTTTTGTTTTTAAAGAACTAAAATTAAAAACTAATGATTTTCAAAAAAAAAAAGAGAAAATATAAATGAGCTGAACAAGCAACATCTTGTAATGCTGAAATTATGTCTCTGGTAAATCACTGAACAAAATATTGAAAGAAAACAAACATGAGATTACTGACACACTCATAAATTTATTTGGTGATGTTACAGACATTTCAGCATGCATGTGAAGAAAGCAGTCATGTCTTCTCTCTGCACAGGGCCGATGAGCTAAAGGAAGCTTCTGTCTGCATTGTCACATGGAGTATTGACATTTCAGTACCATAACAGATGCAACTGTTCACTGACCTTGAAATGCGATATACTCTCTTAGATATAGAATGCTGAAGGAAACAGGTAAGCATGCCTGACTTCATGTCATGTTGGTCTCCAAATTAGTTGAGCCAGAGAGTGTAAACCCATTCTCCAACCAGAATAGATGTTGTACTCCTATCTCAGCTGTGGCAGGTAAAGAGCAAGAAGATGGAGGCTTTCTTCAATCTCATTTTCTTCTTTTTTTCTTTTCTTTTTTCTTTTTTTTTTTTCTTTTGGCTCAACTGTCTTCTTGAACCTGTGTACAGAAACTGGAAAGCTAACTGTGAAGCTGGTATCTACTCTAGAGATCATAAAAGTAACAAGGATAAATTACAGGTCTATTATCTAGGACTTGAACACTGAACTTCAACATTTTTAAAATGTATGTTGATTTAGTAAGTCTGCAGTCAACTTATTGTGGAAAATATTGAAAAATATGAACAAGCAAACATGCAGTTCATATTCTACTTGTCCACTAAATAAATATGAAAAGGAAGTTACGTATTTCAAATACTTTAATAAAACCAAAGATTTGCACTTTAATAAAACTAAAGATTTTCAAAACAAGAGTTTTGTGAAAGTCACATGTAATATAGAATATAAAATAATAAAAAAAATTATAAGACGGAAACATCAGGAAAAAAAATATCCTGACAGTTGATAGTCTGTTTCTGAATCATTAAAACTTAGTAGTAGCTTCGTAAGTTAGTGGAGTCTTTATTAAATACAAACTAAAACTTTACAGGTCTGTCTTCAGTCTTTGGATGTCTAGTATAATAGAACTGCAAAAGTGAAAGGCTGGAATGAAATTTTAATGAAGCATAACTTAATGGCACTTTGTCTGTTGTTAGTATTTCCATATATCGAGAAAACTTCAAAAACTCACTGAAATTATGGACGAATCAATTCATCTACTGAATAGGTCAGCAGTTGTTATTCAAATAATAATATGTATATTTTAATATTTTCTAAAGTTATTTTCCATCCCCAAATGGATTAGATCAACGTAGTTCCTTACGATGAAATAAAATCAGAGTTGTCTTAAAGCACTCTCACTCTAAATGGTTCATATATGTAATGAGAAAATTATCACTAAATCATCTTGACATTTCTTTCTAAAGACATTTAAATCCATCTAGTGTTTTGTTTTCCAATCTTGAACATTTTTATATACAATGAATCATGGATAAATATTTTCAGTTATAAAGCTTTAGATTAATGAGTTGTCTTTTCCTGCAGGTTTGTTTTCTGTCCTATCCTTGTTGAGAAGATGTTCCAGAATAATTTTACCTCTATTTTGGTTGTATTACTTACTGTATTAATGAGAAAACTGGCAGAATGTCAGTTTTCAAAAAAAGATTTTGAAAAAAATTATCTTCTCTATGACCAGCTTCATTCACTCTTGTGTACTTTCAAAATAGAAGTCATCACAGGTTTTATTCTGGAGTTACTTTATAAGCAGACTCGAATAGGTGCCAGTTATTGCAGTGGGGTAATGGCACACTGTCAAATACCTTAGCTCCTCTCACATTTTTATGCCACTAGAACTCACCTTAGTCCTGGGCCCCAATATGGTCATCCACATACTTTGTATGTTAGTATTCTGAGATTTTTCTTCTCGTGACAAAAAGCTTTTATAATTCTGGGAATTCTATCAAAAAGATTTCCCCATAGTCAAAATGGTTTAAACCATACTATTTTTAATATTTCCATCCCATACAATTCTTCAAGATCATTCAAAAAACTATTGAACACTGTAAAACTCCCAAGTAACCTCAACTTGCATTTCTCAGGTAGGCAACAGCAGAGCACTGTAGGTATAAAACTATTCTTCGGCATGTGCTGTGGGGCTGAAGGATCATACTGTTGGTGGAGATAACCTTGTCCAAGAAGATGTAAACAAACAGCACTGATGACCAAACAGTACACAGCTGATCCCAAAGAGTATATTCTACCACATCTCTCTGTACACATTTACCAAGTTTCTTCTATATTAAGTTTCACTCGTTAATGTTGTTACAATCCACTAATTTCAAGAAATTCCAATTTTATACCTCGGTCCACAAAAGCGGAGAGGGGAAAAGGTTTGAGTCTACCTGGAGCAAGATTAAGACACAGTCGAGGTCAGATGTTGGTAACCAAAATAATTCTCTCCTGTTCTCTATTAAGGAAAAGAGAGAAAGAAGGAAAATAGGAAAGTAGGAAAAAGGGGAAGGATGACTACAAAAAGTAAATAGTTGCCACTCTGTGGATCCCACAGCGCCCCAAAAGTCCACTCATCTTCTGTGGATCAGTGGGGAGAGCTCTATATGAGCTTACCAAGTGAGCCTTTTTTTACGTTGGCTAAGCAGTGTGCTTTGCAATAACATTTCAGCACTCTTGCCCAAGCCTGGGGACTATGACAATGGCACGTTCACCCCATAGTAATTTTGACCACTTCATATAGGCATGGGTGTCTATGCAATGGCTGTGTGCTACCCTTAAAACCTACAAGTTGAATCGCACAATGTTACCTTATTCAGGCAAAAGGTAAATGCACAGTCTGTAGGCTGTGGTTAACTGAACATCCTGTTATTGCAATGGTCTCCTGATTGCAAATTTCTGTAACAGTAAAGCAACTTGCCTTCTACTGTTCAAGCCATGGCAGAATATATGTTGCTTTACAGCAGTTAGCAGTTTAAGCACTGTCAGAATATATATTGCTTCTTACTAGTTCTATACAAATATACAGTTTTTAAGTAGTTAACTAGATCTTCTAAGAAATCAAAATGTCTTTTCACACTGTTATACATCCTATGTGATCAGTTCGTGATATTTATCTCTTATATTTGTATGAAAGAGTATTATATATATAAATAAAATACATTTATAGATATAATATTTTTATATGTTGTTATTGCACAATATCAGAGGTCTAGGATGTATACCTCGACTATTTCTTTTGATGCAGTACAGATTTTCGGCTCAACTGTCTGTTATCTAGCTGCCTGTAAATCACAAATCCAAATTACCTTAGCTACACAGCTAACATAATTGCTCTTCATATTCTTCAGATCTATATAACATTCCTCAATTCTGTATACACTATAGGAGCAGATACGAAATTACTGATGGATTTCCACAGGTCAGTGTGTGTCTGGCTTGTTTTGTATTTCCAGTTTTTATTCCATGTTCCAAACTTTGATTTTGACTTTTATGATACCTTCCATTTGCATAGCATTGGGTTTTCATCTAGTTTTGAATGACGAAAACAACCTCCAGTACTTTTCACTGTTTACCAGTAAAATGATATAGACTCAATTTCATAGTCTTTGGCTTTGTCTTTAAAATTCACCAATAAACCTTACTGTTTACTCTAAATTCTGCTGGATTTGTAAGTTCAAAATGTTACTTCTGTGGAATGGAATCCAATTCAAATAACATTCCCTAGAAAGGTGTGGAGTCATTTTCTCCACTGAGACCTCCCCTCAGAAACTGTAATTTAAATCATTACCTCCAGATTTGCCACTGGCTCCTTTTTAATGATTCGTTCTTTATAGAGATCAGAGACTTTCCACATCTTTTAAAGTTATGGGGTTATGACAAAAATTAACAATTAAAAATTTCTTAAACACTCTCAAAGTTCCTCAACAGAAGCAAATAGGCTCTACATAACTCTACAGTGATAGAAAGCCAATGTCATTTTTCTTTCTTGTCTACTATAAAATCTGTGCAAGAAAATGAAGGATAAGGAGTTCCTGGAGAAGGTCCAGTGGAGGGTAACAAAGATGGTTAAGGGACTGGAGCATCTCACTTATAAGGTAACGCTGAGGGATCTGTACCTGTTCAACCTTGAGAAGAGATGACTGAGAGAGGACCTCATCAGTATATATAAATGTCTGAAGGGAGGGTGTCAAGAGGATGGAGCCAGGCTCTTGGTGGTGCCAAGCAGCAGGACAAGAGGCAATGGGCAGAATCTGATGCACAGGAAGTTCCACCTGAACATGAGGAAGACCTTTACTGTGCAGGTGGCTGAGCACCGGCACATGTTGTCCAGAGAAGCTGAGGAGCCTCCCTCACTGGAGGTATTCAAGAACCATCTGGATGCAATCCTGTGCAATGTGCTCTAGAATGACCCTGTTTGAGCAGAGAGGTTGGACCAGATGACCCACTGTAGACCCTTCCAACCTCATGCATTCTGTGATATGATATGACTAAAACTCATGTCTCAGGAGATGGACATTGGATATAGTAGAAAGGTTAATACCAAGGGAAAAGTTTGCTTCTGGTGTTTGTTTGGAAACATTATGGAAGGCTTTGATTTATTACATTACAGTAAATTTTTTTCTCATCGACTTCAGTTATGAATTGGGAGTAGCAAAAAGCTTGAAGTGAATCAACATTTTCCTCATAGGGACCTCACCTAACTTCTGTGGAGTTAAAAAATAAGAAAAATGTTTTCCTGTGTCACCACTGCCTTGGGGGAGGGGAAAGAGAAAAAAACAAATCTGTTTTAATTTTTGTCCACAAAATTAATGAATTTTGTCTTTAATGTCTGTCACCAGAAGTAATCTCTGCATAATTGATATTTCTAAGACTCACTCCTTACGCAATACATTACTTCAAACTGAGAGTGTTCTTAAATGAAAGATGCTTTGGTTAGAATTTTAAAACTATTGTTTACAATAGTTTTAATTGTTTACATTGTTGTTTACAATGGAACACATTGCATTTTCTTTCACAGAAATTTTAGTTGTAATTATAGTAGTTTGTAATTTAAAAATGAATATTTAAGGAATATTAGTCTGTATATCTAAATATAGACTTTTTCAGGTTTTCAGAATAAATGCTTCTATTCATCACTACTTTTGTATCTCATACTAGTGACCTCCAGGACAAAAGGATTTCAAGCATTCTAGTTATTCTGTAGAAATACTCTGCAAAAAAATTACTGTGCTGTGTTGAAAATAATAATACATGGGAATAAGTGGGGTCCATTATCAAATGCATTGCATATTATCACAAAAGAGATGAGGTGTAATGTTTTCTAGCTTTCTTACAAT